AGTATCTACCCAGGTAGCTGGATTGAGTCAACCTCATAACCTCTAGGTCTGTCTCTATCCCCAGGCCTTATATGGACACACACAGGCTGTCACATGCTTGGCAGCATCAGTCACTTTTAGCCTGCTGGTGAGTGGCTCCCAAGACTGCACCTGCATCCTTTGGGACCTGGACTATCTCACCCACGTGGTCCGCTTGCCTGTTCACCGCGAGGCCATTTCTGCCATCGCCGTTAGTGACATTTCGGTGAGACCCCTTTGTCTCCTGTCTGTATGCCCAACAGCATGTGCCCCGGTATGGTAGTGTGGCCAACAATGTCTGAGAGGATGGGTGCAGAGCGAGGTGACCACCCTAGAATGTTGTGGGATATTCCCTAGAAAGGCAGAGTGGCCATCAGCATGTGCTGATTTGCTTCTTTATCTTTCTACCTCAGTATAGTGAGTAACAGAGGATGTCTTTTCTGGTGTGGGCATCTGGTAGTCAGGACAGGAAGTTGGCTTCAGTGAGGGATCTGCTGGGCTTGACTAATTCAGCTCAGTGGCTGCAAATCAGTGTTGAAGCAGTAGGTACCTCTGGTCTCCATGGCAGGAAGTGTTTCTGCTTGTCCCTACCAAGATGAGCCTGTCAGCTGGAGCTTGTGTGCATGCATGTGTGTGAAAGAGATATCTGTAAATAAGTATTTACAGAAATATATATCATATCAGATTGTCAGTGATATATTGATATACATGTAAATAACATGTTACTTATTGATGTGTCAATGTCAGGTTTCTCAGACTGGGATCCCCATCATAAGGCATGGAGGTCCCTGAGAGGGCTTTGCATCTGCTCATAGAAGACCCTAGTACCCAGGGCAGGGATAATGGGAGCAGGGGGAATCAGAGGTGGAGGGGGAGATGTTGGAGAATCTTCCTGGTACAAACTTGGACTGAAATTCCTGTTCCAGGCAGCTTGAATTTAGGATGAATGTTACATGGGCAAAGAGTAGGTGGATGGATGGTAAATGGATAGCTTATGTATAAGATATGTCAGTGGATGCACATTTGGGTCAATGAGTGAGGAATTAGGTAGATAAATGAAAAGAGAGTGGGGGAATTGGTAAATGGGTGCATCTGTTGAGAAAGGGATTGAGCTCTAACTTGGGAGAACAATAACCACAATAATTATGTCCCCAGGCCTCAGAAAAGATTGACATCAGTGCAATAATTTGTGGACTCAACTTGTTCTAGAAACTCTAAAGCCACTGAGCACCTGCTGGATCCCAGGCTGTCAGGCAAAAATGTATTAGATGGTCCTTGGCCTCAGACAGTGACAGTTCAGGGAGGGCTATGATGAAACTAGGCTCTGGGGGCTGAGGGAAGACAATGAGCTCTCTATATCTCTTCTGTGGTTCACTGATGGCTCAAAGACATGGCCCCATGACACTCTGAGTCCATGGTGACAGTGGCCACTACTCTACTAGCTAAAATTAAAAATAAAGAGCAAATACCCAGGGGATAAACATTGCAGAAAATGCTATGGGGAAATTTCTCCTCAGAAATTCTCTCCAGAAGGACATCGTCCAATTATATGCATCAAATTAAGACATTTGAACCTCTGTACCCTCCCTGACATTCACCAAATGACATCCTAAGTTGCTTAATGAGCACAGGGCTGACCAGTCAGGAAGAGGCTTCATGTTTAGAATCAGGGGTGATCTTCAGGCTGAGTCTTCCATGCCAGTCAGTGTATGCCAAGGTGAGCCTTGACGGAGAAACCCAAAGGCTGATCCAGTCAGTCCATGCTGGAGAAAGTTGAGTCCAAACCCAGATTGCAATATGAAAAGAGCCAGAATTTTACGTTCGTGTGAAAACACATGAACCTATGAGTCAGCTGGGAAGATGTTTGAGTCACAGGAAGTCTTGGGTTGCCTTGGTTGGTCTTCAGAAGAAGATGGCAGGCCAAGGTGTTGAGCAAGTGGCAGCAGGGCAGGCAGTGAGCCCAGCTTGCAGTGAGACCAGCCCTCTCCCTGTTGCAGGGAACCATTGTTTCCTGTGCCGGAGCCCATTTGTCCCTGTGGAATGTGAACGGACAGCCCCTGGCCAGCATCACCACAGCCTGGGGCCCAGAAGGAGCCATAACCTGCTGCTACGTGGTAGAGGGGCCAGCATGGGGCACAAGCCATGTCATCATCACTGGGAGTCAAGACGGCATGGTCCGGGTAGGTGTGTCTCACACCGAGTGAGAACCAATACAAGAAATGAGTTCCTCTCAATTCTCACTTCCTCCACAGGTTCAAACCTGTAGGTTGCACCTGAGATTCTCCAGACGGGGTCCCTATAGCAAATAGGGACAAAGACAAGGCTCTTTCCAGGCATAAATAAATACATTAGTCATATATTTGTGTGTGTCTATAAAGATACACACACACACACACACACACACACACATACAATTTTTATATACATTTATATAATAAAACAAATTAGCATCATAAGGTATGAAAGGCAAATGGTCAAATGCATACAAATAATTCCGTGCTGAAAAGAGTGGACCATCCACTCACCCATTTACCCATTCACCCACCCAACCCATCCCGTCAGACAATCATCCATTTAGCCATTTACCTGACATTGTCCTTCCATTCTAACATTGACCCTTTCATCCCATCCATCCAGTCATCCTTCAATCTATCCATTCATGCATACATCCATGAATATATCCATACACCCAACTATTTGTACCTCCAGCTATCTATGCCTCCATTTATTGAATGCTGGCCCTGTGCCAAGCATTTCATAAAAAGCTTGAAGGCACAAAGATTAATGATAAATGGGTCCTTGTCCTTAAGATGTTCCTATTCCAGAAGAGAAGACAAACAGAAAACATGTGTGTGTGTTTCATGCTGTGACTGGGATAATCAAAGAATGGCATGGTCCTCTGGGGAGGACCATGGAGAGGGAGAGCATTAAGAAACCCAGGAAAAAGAGAACATTAAGTGGGCCATTAGGATGGAAAGAATAAAGTACACATGATTTTTCTAAAACTGACAGGATGAAGCAATGAGTAAAGATAAGGAATGAGAGTAAATGTCAACTGAATGCCATGAGATATTCCAGAAAGCATTCACTGAATTCTGCAAATGCTTACGAAGTCGTCTTGGCTGGGTACCAACATGGCAAAAACCTAGACTTGCCCTCCAGGGGCCTCCATGCTCTGTCTCGGAATAATTCTAGAGATGAAGTTTCAGGAAGTTGAATGAATAATGTAGTGGGATCCAAAAGGAAAATGGATTTAGTTCCAACAGACAGACTTTAGAGGAGCTGGCATTTCAGCTAAGTCCTGAGGATAAGGAAAAGTCAGCGCATGCGGGGAAGGCCATGTGGACTGAGCATGCATTGGAGAGAGAATGCTGAGGAGGATCCCAAGAACATCCATCACAGGGTCCCAACTGTGAGCTATTAGGGGCACAGGGGTGATTACAGTGTAAGAAAGTGATGCAGGTCTTGACAGAGAATGGCATGTACCGTGGAATCAGGAGCTTAGGCTGGTTGACAGTAGATGCATTTCTCCCAAGGGCCTTCCCAAAGCATGTGTGGAGGGCTTCCACACACTGAGGATGCTTCACTCAGCAGGTAATTGAACCCCTAAGTGGGCACAGCACTGCACCAGGCCTGGTGTGGAGCTCACAGGAATATCACCTGGAGACAGGTCCTTGTCCTTTGGCAACAGGAATATAGAAACAGCAAGAGAGCAGCTAAATGTGGTCAGCCTGTGATACCACACCCAAGGGCCACACACAGAAGATGAGGGCAGCATCTAAATGGCAAGGGAAAACTTTGGGGCTGGCAGTATAGTGATCTGACTGCTGAGTCTTGTCCCTGTAGGTAATGGGTTGAGGTGAGAGGCATTAGTTACAGATGAGGGGGGTAAACTCATCCGAACTAATTCCCCAGCCGATAGTATCTTCTTTTCTGGACAGATCTGGAAGACTGAAGATGTAAAGCTGTCGGTTCCTGGGCAGGCAGCCCCAGAAGCACCTTCGCCTCAGCCTCCCAGTCCAAGCGGTACTGGTCCTGCTAACTTTCCCTTGCTTGGGAGTTTCCCTTGCTTTGCTTGGTTCTCCCTCCCCTCATGGGCACAAGTCCTGCAGTTGTACCCAGGCCTGAGTACATTGAGTCTCAGATGTTGCCAGGTTTGAGGGGACATGAGCAGTTTACTTCAGTCTGCTGGTAAGGTGTGAAGCAACCTGCAAAAGACCTGTTGGGTCCAGCCTCATCCAGTAGGGACCAGCAAGCCCTGAGTGTTCCCCGGAGCTGTGAACAGTGGTGTCCGGACTTCTGAGCTTCAGGAGGGAGGGGTCACACCTCACAGAATTTGGTTCAATGCTCTGTATCTTCCTGGATGCCCCTTGAATGCCAAACTCCCCAAGCCAGGGCCTACTGGCCTGCACAAAGGGCTAAGTAGCCAGGTGCATTCCAGTGAACTCAAGTACTTCTTAGAAGAGCAGAGGCCAAACTCCCTCCCCTTTTTCTGTGTGAAGATTCACAAACCTAAGCCACTTGGGGTCTTGTTATTCTCATAATATTGCTCAAAACTCTTTTGTGGGAGAGGGCCCAAGAACAGGCATGGCGCATGGATATTTGCACAGGTGTCCCCTAGGTGTGCATATTGCTGCATCCTCAATCTCTTAAGAGGCGAGGAAGGAGCTCTTTGAAGTTATTAAAGATCTTGCCTTTGTGCGCTGATGTAACCTAATTTCTGCCTGGAATTCATTTATTTGTCATTTGCATCAAGGACCAACACAGTTGAGTACAAATTTAGGAATCAGCTCCTAGATTTGGAGTCAAGCTCATACCTAATAGGTACTTGGGGAAATTGTTGTTTGGGTTTTTGCACAACCCACCACACACACACATGCACTTCCTGGGGCACAAGCCTGTCTGCCCACAGGTCACAGCCTGGGAAGGTGAGGCCTGCCTCATTCCCGCCCCAGCCCCAACCTGGTGACTTCTCAGTGCCTGCCCAGCTGATGTCTCTCCATCTCAACCTCCACGGTGAAGGAATTACTGTCTGTCCCCAAATGCAGTCATTAAAATGAGTGAAGTAACAATCATTGAGTTATATTTTTTGAAAAAACATTCTCAGCATTTAATTATTGGTTGTGGCATGAGAGGATTTAGATAAGTTGATAATGCCGACTTTATGTAATTTATTTTTACTAGGCAATTACGGGCTGCATTACATCCTGGCAGCAAGGTATTGTGGGGCATCTTATTAAGCATAAAGCCAGTAAACACTGATGAACAATTTTGCTGAACTAGGCATGCAATTTAGAAAGCAATAATACACAAATCCAATTTGGTACACAATGGATACCGCAGCACGTCAGCACATGTAACTATCACAGCCTGCAAATTAAATTGGGACAGCCCTTTTTGCAACAGCACAGGCCAAGATTAAATATATTTTCTCCCTCAATTTAACAACTTGCTGACCACAAATATAAATATGTGTGTATGTGTTTGTAGCCCTGTGTGTGGACGTACATGGGCACGTGTGTGGGAGTTGAGCTTTCTAACTGTCCTCTTGAACATTCTCCTCAGGTCACAAATGGGAGAAGAATCTTGCCCTGTGCCGAGAGCTGGATATTAGCATGGCCCTGACAGGGAAGCACAGCAAGGCCAGCCCTGCCGTGACAGCTCTGGCTGTGTCCAGGTAAGGAGCGGCTGCCTTCTCCAAGCTTCAGGCAGAGGGCGCTGCAGCCGCCCCAGGAAGGTCCTCTGGGCTCTTGGCTCCGCCAGGGCAGCAGGGCCCAGGGAGTGGCCGCCCTACAGGTAGCCAGCGGGGCCCCCCAGGTTGTTTTGGGCAGGGGGGGGTTTTGGGTTCTTGGGAGTTTTTTTTTTTACACATAACACACATTCTCCCTACCTCTTTTTGAATATCTTTGATTCACAAAGAAACCCAAAAGGTAAAACTATATTGCTCTTGTGCCTCTACCTTATAGAGAGACAGCTCTCCTGAGGTCTGCTGCTGATTATGACATGTGGCATGATGACTAGAGTGCATGACAGAAGGGCCTCTTGAGGTGTCCAAGTTGATGTGGTATATAGCCCAGTAGCAGGTATCACAGCCCATGGACATATCTTACTCTTCACAGTTACCGGGAGGTGGTACTATCACTTGCCTGTTCTACCCACTAGGAGGTACAGTTTTGGGAGGTGGCAGACCTTCAAGAGTCAACTTTCCTTCCTCCCTCCCCACCCTGGAGGGGGCCACCTGGGTTCTGTGGCTGTGGACACCACGTGGTGTTTTAGAATGCCAGGATGAGGAGGGGTGGACAGGCAGGGCCCAGGAGACGGACAGCAAGTCCAGGACCTGAACTGTCTGCTGGAGAGCTTGTCATTCTTTTGGCGTGAAGGGATTGACTCTGTCTCACAGGACAGGATGCACATCTGAAAATGCTGGAGAGAAGAACTCAGGGCTTCATGTCAGCATCTCGGCTGATCTCCTCAGTGCTTTGGGGCCCACCACCCTCAGAGTTCAAAACGCCCCTTACCCGCCCAGTAAAGCACTCTTCAGTACTCCTGTCCTGTTCCTTCTTCCCTCCCTCCCAGGGGGGGCCACTTGCAGGTTCCAAGGGGCCCTGGGCTGAACATCCAGGATACAACTTCCGGAAAGCAGGCACTCACAGGCCTGACTCTAACGCTGTCTGTTCTTTCTCTTGCCAAGAAATCAGACCAAACTGCTGGTCGGCGATGAGAAAGGAAGAATATTCTGCTGGTCTGCAGAAGGATAGGAAGAAAGAGATGCAGAAGCTCTGGCTTATCAGCCCTGGGCCCTGAGGGCTGCAGCACCAGGGGAAAATGGTTGTCCGGGCTCCGCTCCCCATGGCCTTTGACCTCCAAACCCTGAATCCTTTCCTCACATGGTGCAGAGACTTGGATTGTATGAAGATGCAGTCTGCACAGGGGGAACTCCCAGAAGCATGCTGGAAATCTTGACTCCCTGAAGCTACATCACACATCACTCACCTTTTCAAAGGCCTATTGCTCTGGGGGGAAAAAAAAGAAAGAAAGAAAAAGAAAAGAAATATGGGTCACTTACTGGGAAATATTGTATTGTCTTTATTTTATTAAAACAACTCTTTTCCAAATGTAAGAGGGCTCTAGAATTTTCCACTTGGGCTTTTGCATCTCCATGCTAGAAAAGACAAGAATGTTTGTTATCACCTTCGGGGTGTTTCTCCGCCCACTCGCTCCTCTCTCCTTCAGTGGAATCTGGCCTCTCCTGCAGTCTTGCTTGCCATGCAGGGTCATGCTCAGGAGTCCCAGTTGCTGTGGCTGAGCCACGGGATACAGACATGAGGCTGCCAGCTGCAGGCACAGGATGGTAGCCAGGGGGGCGGGGCATGCCGCCTGGGCGTGCCTGCCCATCTCTGTGCCCCAAAGCAGCTGTGCATCCTGCTGAGCAAAGCAGGCTCTGCTCAGGGCCTGTCATCATACAAAGTTCCAAGTCTCTGTTTACACCATGATTTAGAACTGGTGCTCATGGTGAAAAAAAAAATTATGCACTATGTGACTTTTAGTGTCCATCCGAAAAAACATGGCAGGTGGGGAGTTAGCCCTTCTGAGGGATCCCTGTACCCGCCAGGGCTGTGTCACTCATTCACTGGGCACAGAAATGTCCACCTCACTGTCACGTCTGCCCCCTATCTCAGCCTTTCAGAACCACATGAGAGGAACCCAGTCTGCTAGATTCAGCGGAATCTAGCTCAAGACAGGGCAGTGGGATTGGGGTGACCAAGCACCGTGGTGTCAGCTCCCCTCCGAGATTCCTTTCTGGGGTATACCAGTTCTTCCCATTTTTCCCAAGCCCTGCGGAGGCCTCAGTGGGCATCCTATTCAATTTAGCTCAGACTTGGGGATGGCAAGAAAATAAACTCGCTGTTTCATGGCCTCTCATGTGGTCTCCAAGGGGCAGATGAGAGGGTCAGTTTAAAGATAAATAATAAGGAAATAGAGGAGGTATAAGTTATGTCAAAATCGGTGAGAGACGATTAGGAAAATGTTAGCTAACTGTAAACTTTGATGTCTTTGCAAAGGGGGAGGTGGGAGAGGGGCCGCCGCTCCGGTCCAGAGCACCCCTCCCGGGGTGAGAGGGCACACGTCTGACCCTGGGGCCAAGGATCACGCCACTGCCAGCACTGTCTGCCGTGCTATCAGCAGACAGCCAGCCCATTTGCAATCCCCTAGCCAGTCTGGGCCTGCTCTGGAGGACCATAAATTGAGAGCAGAGAGCACCACTCCCCAAGAAGGCCGGAAGCAGAGCCATAAATATCCAGGCTGGGCCAGCCTGCTGTCATGTTCCATAGCTTTTACCCAGGGCTGAGTGTGCTGGCCCCAAGGCCGTGCTGGGCTTGTTCACCAAACAGCTTCCCCTGAGCACGCCTTTTGCTTCCCCCATATCATAGGGGAAATGGGGACATGGCATCAGGGACAGAAAGTTCTGGAAGATAGAAGTACAAATTCACAGAGTCAGCAGGGTCAGCTTTTCTGAGGTCTCTCTCCCTAACTTGTAGATGGTTCTCTTCTCCCTGTGTCTACACGTGGGCTTCCTCACTACCAAATGTCCTCTTCTCCTAAAGACACAAGTCCTGTTGGACTAGGGCTCACCTGCATGTCCTCATTGTCACCTGAATTGCGTCTTTAAAGATGATAGCATCCACTGTGTCAGCTCTGATGTACAGGGGTTAGGGCTTCAACGTGAGGATGGGAGGCATGTCATTCCGAATGCCCATAACATTGGCTGAAGGAGCTGGTCCTGTTGCGAGATTTGGAAAGGAAGATATGACTGACTTGTAGTGGTGCAGTGAAGGACGTTAAAGTCATGCCCTAAAGGAAGAGGAGTCAGTGTTGGCAAAGGCACAGGACATGTGGGCAGATTGCCACAGGTGCCACAGACGGGCAACGATGGGAGGAGGAGAGACTGGGAGGAGGAGAGGCTGTGGGAGCTGGGGGCTGGTGATATGGCTGCTGAGAGGGAGCGAGGGGGCAGGGACAGGCCTTCGACCTCACGGAGATGTACTGCCAGGACCCCGTTCACAAAAGATGCTTCCTGGCGTTGCTCAGACCATGAACGTGCGGATGAATGAATGAGTCGTGGCACAGACTCTCCGAAGGGCTGGTTCTAGTTGCAAAAAGCAGCTCTGAGTGAAGGCAGGTCCAGGCAGACCCTCTGTGGGTGGAATGAAACCAAGGGAGTGAAGAAGGTGAAAAGAGAGTCAAGGCGATGAGTAGCTGTCGTTCCCAGGGCGGGCTGGGTCTGAATCTCAGCCTGGAGTGACAGTCGATGTCCCCACCTATACCCCAATGCAGAGGTGGAGGCTTCAGTGAGAATAAGAGAGCAACAGGCAGGATTTACCCCTAGTGTGAGGTTGAGGAAACATAAAAGCTCTCTGTTTAGGCCTCTCAGCGTCTGTGTCAGGGAAGATTTGGGTGACTCCCTGGCCACAGCCTCTTTTCAAGGGACACAAAAGTGAGAGCCTCAGTCTCCCAGAGCACCCAGTGCTGTCAGCCCAGACCAGCTCTCCGCTACCGCTACCTGGAGGAAGGAGACTCCCCAGCAGAGGGCAGTAGAGACAGCACAACCCCCTCAGCAGACCTGGTCCCTAGACCAGGGAAGGGGACAAGGAGATTTCTAGGCCCCCAGAGGTCCAAGGTTTAAGGTTCTCTGCAACTTCAGGAAGGGGTCGGTTGAGTTTTCAGTGATTTGGGGAAGGCCAAGACAGAGGACTGAGTCATGGTTAAGGAGAGGACAGGCTTGGCATCAAGGCCTGCAATAGAGGGGCAGCCCGGGCAGAGGCCGGGAGTGTAGCTGCTGGGGCCAAGATGCAGGTGCAGGCCTCCCAGTGCCCCAAATCTAGGAGAGACAAGGGGTCCCAGGAGCAAGAGCCATGCCAAGCCAGTTGGTATCTGGAGCCCAGGATCTGATGAGCACGCAATGAGGCGCGCGGGAGAACAATGTCTAGTGTGGGCAGCCTGAGCGCCGTTCCCAGCATCCCCACTTCTGCCAGCTTCAGCCTCAGCTTCTGCATCTGTAAAATGGACTCCCTATATTTTCCTGATGTTGTGAAATCAAATTATCTGTTTATTTTTATGGAGGAATGAAGCAAATGGCAGGCTGCCTGCTTCTACCCTGATACAGGCTTCAATACAGCACTTTATTCATTCACCCAGCAGGAGTTGTTGTTGTTGTTGTTGTTGTTGTTGTTGTTGTTGTTGAATCAGGCCCTGTGCCAGCACCCTGGGGACAGAGACCCATGTGTCTGGGTCCAGAAAGCCGTCTGCTGGACTAGGGAGAAGCACAGAGAAAACGTGGCAGGGGGTAAGCTCTCACACCTAAATGCTAATGAGGCTGAAACAGCGGCACCCACCTTGGGTGGATCTGTTGATGGAAGTTCCTGGAATGCAAGTCCACAGTCTGGACCACTAGCTGGAGCAGAAGCCACAGTTCCAGTTCGCATGTTTAACTATCTCCTGGCTGAGACTGATGGGAGCTCCAGAATCCACTAGAAGACCAGGGTAGAGAGTGATAGGATGGGGTGAAAGGGCAGCCTCTGGCCTCCACTGCTCATCCTTGCAGCCTCAGAGCTAGTGTGTTGAGACAGGCTTCCCAGCCTCTGAAGTCAGAGACCCCGCCCCCAATATTCCACTTGTTTGTTTTTGTTTTTGTTTTTGTTTTTTTAAGATCTATTTATTTGTGCATACAGAACTGGAGTACCGGGCAGAGGTGCAGGGGCAGTGAGAGGATTCACCAGAGACAGAGTGGGGAGCAGGACAGGCAGACTGGCGAAGTACACTGCTGAGGGCAGGTCAGGAGAGGTCTGCCATGCTATGTGGGTCACCTCTGGGGCAGGGATTGAACTCATGCTGAAGTGACTTGAGCTTTTTAGTGTTGTGCATTAACCCACTGTGCCACCAGAGAGGGGCCTCTACTTGCTTTTACCAACTCTTCCTGAGTCAACAGCCGTGCTGGGCCCTGGTTTCCCAGCAGTGGGGTGCCTTCCCAGGAGACATCTCAGTAATAATGGACCAGTCCCTCCCTTCCCCCCTCCAATCCTGTGATGACCAGGGTTCCTGTACCCACTTCCACCAGCAATGCCATGGTCACAGTTTCCACCCTGGGAAACTCTCGCTCTGTTCACCAGACCAAATACATGTCACTCTCTCACCCTCTCATCATGGCACGAGTCACCCTAGCCTCCCCTGGGTCTCCACATCCGCTGAAGCTCAGGGAAGAGAACCCAGCACAACAGAACATCCTTCTAATTGCAGGGCACAGAGAGGAAGTACAGTTTCTGCAGTGGCTTGTGAGAGCACAGGCCCTGGGCCAGCATTCGGGTAACCTCAGGGAGACAGCTTTACCAGCTGGGCCCATGGCTCCTTCTGGACAGGCTCAGGATCTGCTGAGACATCCTTACCCCAGAAAAGTGCTTAGTGTTTACTTAGCATTCCACCATGTGTCTTGTGTTTATGTCTGCTAGGCCTGTGCACCCCACTCCCTGGCCTCTAAAAGGTAGGGAAGGGTGGTGCTCTGTCCAACACCCCCTTTGGTACCAGTGCATAATGGACGAACGTCTTGCCATGAAAGAACTAAAATTCAACAGTGGGACTCATAAGATTCTTGGGGTGTTGTGGGGGGAAGCATTCACTTACCCCCTAACCACCTTTCCCGTGCACTCTGGGTCACTCTGACCCTCCTTCCTGGAGGGTCACAGCCTCCTGCCCCATTCTACTTTTATTTCTTTGTGCCCTGCGCTCCAGGGAGAAAAGTCCAGAGCCCTGAGGGCCATTGATGACAGCAACTACCTTCCCCAGGATCAGCCAGCAGCCTGGAGCCTAGTCCTGAGAACCCAGTTCTGGGGCCTGCAGAGAACTCTGATATTGGATTTGATCCCATTAACATGCAGCCAAGCAGGACACATTTGGGGAGGAATAGACTTTTCATATGAAAATTCTAATGAAATTTGTTCAGCATCAAATCAAATCTCTCTAAGCTAAAATCAGTTTTGCTTTAGTAAGTTTTGCTTTTGCGTGTGTGTGTTCACCTATGAATGTACCGTTTCCAGTTC